AGGATCTCGAACAAAACAGAAGTTCAACCAATCTTTATTTTGAATTCACACAACGGTCACATTTGTGAGAAGGAGACACTTTTGAAGGAGGTGGCGGTGGTAGGGGAGAGTCTGGACGAGGTGTAGTTTTAAATGTGTAGTTTTGTCATAAGCCTCATCTTTGTCCACAGTTGGGTGAAGAATCTGAACACTCTAGCTAAAGGGTCTGTTGCACCGTCAGTCGTCTTTTAGCCTTCACCGCCAGTGAGACACACTGGTGGTGGATGCAACAATGCCGCGAGGGGTTCAGAACTCATCGAAGACAAGTAATGGAACAGAAACTCACTGCACCTTGTGCTTGTTGGGTCATTTGCTGTGTGTGCACAATGTCTGAATAAAGCATCTCGACCAATATACTCCTGGTGTGGGGGTGACGAACGCCTGCCGTGCATTCCATTTGATTTGTGAGTTGTGAGTGTGTGCATCGGACTTAACACACAAGTGGCACTTCTTCCCTCATTGTGTGCGACCTGTGTCTTAGACCATGGATTTTCTTCCCACGGTATGGTAGCGTATGTTAGAACTATGCTTTGTAGTTCTGTTGCACTCGTTCATTTAGGGGCACCACCTCAGTTTACTGAGGAATTATTTTAAATGAAATCTCAAAGAGACTATTTGAAATCACGTTTATCAGTCTGTTATCTGAAAGCAGTAAGCTCTGATTAAACTGACCTCAGTTCCCACACAAAGAAAGACACAAGATTTATTAACTGTTCTACCATTATGATACATGTGAACTATAAACAATGAAATTGGAGTGTGTGCAGTGGACGTGTTGTCAGATTACCCTGTTAAATAATGAGGATTATGGTGAGAGCAGGATGGTTATTAAACGATCTAACAGTAGTGATTAATAATTTGGTCTATGATCGATACGCTTGTGAGCTGTTAAATGGTTACAACATCAACTCGATCAGGAACAGATGGAAAGGTTGGCTCTGCCTACTTTGTGCAGCGCTGGTAGAACGGAGTCTCCTTTGGGTGGAACAGCTATTTGTGAATGGTACCTTTTTACGACATCTTCAAGCTGTTTCCTCCGGAAGCGTTGTGAAGTTGCCTAGCAATGAGTTCTGCCGGGGAGCTCTCTGAACGCCGTCAGCGGCTTCCCACATTGGCACACAGTGATGAATCTGTCAGCGACAGCCAGCGTCCTGTGCGGTGGGCGCGCTTGTCAGAGTTGATGAAAAAAGAAATGTTTTACTATTAACGGTGGCTCTCGTTGTGCTTTTGACCATGTTTGGCATTGGCCGAAGACAGAAAAAGGCTTTGGAAAACAGAGAACAAAGGCGCGGTGTGATTGATCTGTTACAAAAAAAAAAAAAAAAAATCTAATTTCTGCTGATTCTTGTTGGTTTGGTCGAACAGAATCAAGCGTGTAAATTAGGACTGTAAATGAAGTTGAGCACTATCTTAATAAAACAAAGTCAAAACTAAACTAAGAACTACAAAAATGAAAATATATATAAAAAACTGAGAAAAAAACCCAGACAAAGAAACGAGTAAGAAACAAAGGAAAATGAGGGAGAAGACAAGAAAAATGAAGAGGGGGGGAATAATGGCAAGAGGGGCAAGAGACAAAGAGACAAGTGAGAGAACAAAGTTAGTTTTCCTACTTTTATCCTCGGTCCAGGGGGGTGTGCATTGGAGACGTGGAGAGGATTTCGCTATGACTTTTGGTAACTTAGCCCTCCTCTTTTTCTGTGGAACATCTTCCAACATCTGTGGAAGAAGTTGAAACATGCCATCTGGAGAAGGCACCCTGGAGCAGTCTGCTCAAGAGGAGTGGGCCAAAATACCTGCAGAGAGGTGCAGAAGTCTCACTGACAGTTAAAGAAATTGTTTGATTGCAGTGATTGCCTCAAAAGGTTGTGCAACAAAATATTAAGGGTACCATCATTTTTTTCCAGGCCTGTTTCATGAGTTTATTTTTTTAAATAATTCTGTTAAACCACAATTCAATAGCAATGTCTGATTTTCATTGGTTACTTTTCATAGAATTTTTATTGTTAATTTTGTCAGATTCAAGTTATTTCTGTGACCATTGTGGGTTTTTCTTTCATTAACCGAGAGGTACCAACAATTTTGTCCACGTGTGTAAATGAAATAAATGAATAGGCAGTTTTCTCCTGTAATATTATTGTGATGTCAAAGGACGACATTTAAACTTACGCATTGACCCGTGTAGCAGTGTCCTCCACGCCATTTCCCCTCTGTTTTGCAACTTCAGCGGTGTTGCACTTCTTTTTAAAAACGTGTTCAAACTCACCGTATGAGTGCATTAAGATTTCCAGTTCTCGTGGGTGAAAAACGCAGCCCTCTGCCATTCTGTTGCCATGGTGGTAAAATCGGGGCTCCATTGATGCTGGCTTTTTATGGTTGTGGTGCACGTGCTTAACTCCAGGTGACACTACTCTGAGTTGATTAAACTAACTCAAATCCACTGTTCTAGAACCGTAAACTCAGAGTTTCCTATATCAGAGTAGATGAACTCAGAGTTCAGGATTAGACTCAGTTTGTTGAACCTGCTTCTGAAAACAGACCCCTGGGATCCGTTTCATAAAGTAGGTTTAGTGAAAGCTCTGAGTCTGTAACCGAAATGAGGGAAACGCTGAGTTTTCCGTTTCACAAAAATCTAAAAACATTGTTCAAGTCTGAGGTTGCAGTACAATGTCATTAACAGAATATAATTTAACAGATCTCTATATCATTCACCTGCAGTCCTGTAGAACTCCTCCTTGATGGCTCTGACAGGTTTATGTCCAGTAGTAAGGGCATTTTATGAGATTTTTCACAAATCTGGCAACTAAATCATGACCAAACAATTTCTTCACCAATATGTTTGTAAAGGTGTGTAATAACATGCCATAAAATGTTGAAGTTCAACTTCCGTGGTAAACCTTAAAAACAAAAACCTGCTAAAGTTAGGGTACCGATAACCAATTGACAAAAAAAATCATTTAAAAAAAATCAAAATATATTTGGGCCTTCAGTAACTTATGAGTAGTCAAATCAGGGTTTTTTTTCAGGATTTTGAGTTGATTAACATTTGTATTTCACCACAAGCACTTTGTTGAAAAAAAACTGCACGTAACTGTGTGCTGCTAGACAGCCAGCGAACTATTTAAGAAACTCCACACACAAGGCTTGCTTTTCTTATGTTTATGGAGATTTCTCGAAGTCAACGTGACAATTAGTAACTGAAACAAAACAGAAAAATGCAATTATGATACGTATGACATGCTAACACGAACAGCTAGCTAACACACATACATTACGAACTGCTCATGGAAACAACTTTAAACAAGTGCTTTATACAGGCAACACTTACAAAGACGAAAATTTCCCCAGGCTCAAACGCTCCAGAACCGACACAGCGCACATCCGAGGTTCCCCAGACCTTGTCTCCGTCACACCGCTGGCTGTTTCTCCCAACAGGAAAAACGCCGAAGATCGTTTATAGTCAAGACGAGCGCTCACTCTGACGTAACCAAAACGACCCCCCCTGAAGACGTCTCACGCGGAAAACTTTTTAATCGTAGCTTTATAACGGTTTTTCCTATGAAGTCAACTTATTTATCTATACATCATGAACTTATTTGTAACCTTTTCTCTAACTTATCATTCGTGAAAATATTAATATCTTTGACCCAAAGACATGACACTCCCCGCTTGATATAATCACATTATATCACCACAAACACCAAAATAATGAAATGAAATGAAAAATGAATGAAAAATACTTTATTCATTCCAGAAGGGAAATTCAATAAATAATAATGCATAAAACATTTGCGTGGTTACATGGCATTCCACATATTACGCAGTCTCTGAAAGCAAAACTATAATCTCTGAGATAGGTCTTAGAAATACTTTTGCAGTCCCTTCTTTTAAGATCCGCACTTCCACTTGCCGGACCTTCTTGTCGCTGCTGGGCAGAGTTCTAATGACCAATCCCATGGGCCATTCGTTCCTGTTCGCTTGAGCGTCCTTTTGATCGATGGCCTCGTGGGCCACAGCCAGCAGCTCCCTGCGTCTCTCCACCTCCCTGCGTCGAGCCTCCTGGACAGCTTGACACTCCTCCTCCTCCCGCCGTTCCTGAGCCTCCTGCAGATTCTTCTTCAAGGACGTGACCTCTGCCTCCTTCTCCAGCAACTTTTTCTGCAGCTCTGCCTCTTTCTGTACAGATGTTTTCTGCAGCTTGGACAGCTTCTCCTCCGTCTGCGTGTCCTGTTCTTTGAGCTGAGCTTCGGCTTTGCTGGAGGACTCCTTTGTTTCCTCCATGTTGGAAACTTTTGCCTTCAGGGCTGCGACCTCAGTCAGGAGATCAGAGTTCAGCCTCTTGAGATCTTCATTCTCAGAACTAGAGGAACCGGTTGTAGCTTTAAGCTGAGCTTCCTCTAGTTCAGTCTTGAGCAGATCTGCAGTTTGCTGCTGTTCACTGAGCTGCTGTTTGAGATCATCTAAGAGTTTGCCAGAAGCCATTTTTTCTTCACTCAGTTTGTTTTTTAGCTCTTCCAGCTGCTGTAGTGACACCGCTTGTTGTTCTTGCTGCTTCTCTGAGGCCTCGGTTTGCTGCTCCAGCTTTGCTTTCAGCTGCTCTATTTCTGCTTTGGCAGCCTGTTGCTGGCCTTGGTGCTGGGATCTGAGCTCCTCCAGAGGCTGCTGGGACGTCTCTTCTTGTTCCTGAAGCTTCTTTCTGAGCTCTTCAACTGGCTGTTTTGAGGCTGCCTCTTTCTGATGCAGTTTCTCAGTCAACTCCTCCAGCTGCTGGTCAGAGATTAGCTGCTTCTGTGCCAGCTGTTGCTTTATCTGTGAAAGCTCATTCTCCAGCTCCACACAATTCGTCTTTGCTTGCTCTCATTTTTCTCTTTTTGCTCATCCAGGCTCTTCAGTAGCTCTGATGCTTCCTCTCTGAGTTGATCATGGGCACCAGATGATCCTGCGGAGGTCTGCAGCTCCTGTTTCAGTCTCTGAACCTCCTCAGTCAAGGTGTGAATCTGGGTCGACTTCTCCTCATTCTCCTTGGCCTGTTCATCCAGTCGAGCCTGAGCAGTTTGCAGTTGGACTGAGGCCTGTTCAGCGTTCTCTGTCTCGATGGTCACCTGTTGCTCTGCGGCGTCCAGTTTGTCGCTCAGCTCTCTGAGTTCTCGTCGAAGCCCATCACTCTCCTGGAGCCTCTCTTCTCTCTCCTCAACCAGCCGGTTAATCTCCTTCCGTTCTGCCTCCAGAGCAGACCGAACTTCCTCTTTGCCGCTTGTCTCGTCACCAAGAGCAGCAACTGCTTCCTCTCTGCCTCGCTTCTCTTCTGCCAGCGCCGCCACGGCGTCCTCCTTGGCTCTTTTCTCAGCCTCCAGTGCTGCCATGGTTCCTGTTTGTCTTGTCTCTCTTCTTGCAGGGAGGCTGCCAACTCCTCTTTACTTTGCTTCAGCTCCCTAAGCGCAGCGATGGCGTCCTCTCGGGCTTTCTTCTCCTTTTCAAGGGCAGTCAAAGTCTCCTGCAGCTGCTCTTTCTCACGTGAGCTCCTCTCTTCCACTGGCGCCGAGCGACCACGTGAGCCGAACTCGGCCATCTTCTGCAGGTCTCCCACTTGTTTCTCCAGCCGGGCAACCTGCGATGACTTCTCCTGGAGCTGCAAGACGAGCCTGGTTTTCTCTTCGTCCTCTACACGGCTGGCTTCACCACTGTGCTTGTGAGCTTTTCCTAAACACACCTCTCCCACAATAACCCAACCCAAGTCCAGCCTTTGTGCATAAGGAGCATTATTGGGCCCGTTAATCTGCTCGCGTACCTTATGTACCCTGAGGATGTCCCTTCCCAGGAGTAAAAGGATTGGAGCGTGGTGGTCGACAGGTTGCATTTTGTTTGCAATTGGGTGCAGATGG